AATATTTATAATTAGACAATGAAATATTCAAAATATATATTTGCGGGGGATTTGATTAGATTTCTATGTAAGAACTTTTATAAATTAAACGATTAACTTTAAAACCTGATACAAATTAAAATTAAAACAATTATATGACTTAATTATGGCTTATAACATAATAGAAAGGTGATTTAATTCAAAACCATAGAATTTACATTGCGGCTATTTTATGTGAATGTAAATATAGATATACCAACACATAGTTTCTGCGTATTCACGATTGTACGATATCCCTGTAGTCTTTCAAATATCAAGTAAAAAATTGATTGTGGCCTCGATTAAGAAATGACCTTAATCCAAGTGTTGTCTTGCTTGAAGTATAATTATATTAAAGGATTTTTATTTTTGTCTTCTTGAGAATAATAAATTATTGATATTTTATTAACATTTAAATTGTATTCACAGTACTCAACAATGTTTAGTATCAATTTTAATTTAAAATATTTGCTGTATACAAAAATTAACTTATTTCTGTTCATCAAATATTTTAAGTATTTTAAATAAGTCATAATTAGTTAGTCTTATTAAGAGATTACGTATTAATTCAGTTCATACAAATTTTAAAAAATCTTTCAATATTTTACAGATGAGTTTATTTTCTACATATTAAAAAATGTGCATTTAATATGATAGAAAAGATAATAAGATATTTTTGTCAAGTAATAATTTATATTTTAAATTTACAAAGAAATGGGATTCAGTTGAATAGTCATTATTTTATTTCTTTTGAAAATATGTACAAGAAATTAACAAGACATTTATAGAAGAAATTAACTCGTTTGAAATCGATTTTATTTTTCTTATATTGAGATATCAATATTTACAATAATAATTGTAATACTTTAAATTTAAATTACATGTTCGTAATTAGCCAACTCATTGAATCTTTTTTTTTATGAATTCGTATTTTTAACATCATATGCATTAAGTTTATCAAGAAATTTAAGAAATATTAAATAAAAATATTTAATAAAAAAATTATGTTGTTAATTTGAAAATAAATAAATTACATATAGTGGAAAATTTTGCACTTTATCAATATTAATTGTTATGATAACATTCTTTTGATAATGAAGCAATTACTTATAACTAAAAAATACTTCAAACAAATCTCTTTATCTCAGTTAATATTTTTTATTTATTAATCAATTTAAAAAGTGGCAAGTTGTAAACCATATAAATATGAAATTTAAATAAATTTTTAATGATTTGAGATTTTAAGTAAAAAAAGTCATCACTGACGATACATTCGTGTACTTTATATATGCGCTTCTACACCTACAATGGATGTATTTATAAAGTGATAACCGTTGTCGGCATGACTGATAAATTATATACAGTATTGCATTAAAATGCGGTGGAAAGTTAACCTACACCGATTAATACAATAACTTATATTAAATTTACTATTGGCTTCCTTGACTAGTTGCTTATACTTAAATTCAATTCAACATTATTTTAACATTTCAGAAATGCGTTGCAAAATTGATTTAATTTTAATGTACTTTATAGTATTTAAACTGTTATTAATTTGAAACAGAATTTAATAATTTTTAAGCATGAAATTGCTTATAATCCAATGGTATGTACAAAGCAGTAATTGTGAATAATCTTTAATAAGTTCATTGCTTAGAAACTTACTTAATAATATAAGATAGAAAAATAATATTTTATGGTTTTTTATAACATTTTCAATTATTTGTTTTACAATAATTCATTAATATATCGTTTATAACTAAACATGAATATTTTCATATTAAAATTAATTAAAATTTTTTTAAGAAAAATATTAATTATTTCCTGGTTATGTTACACACCTTAAATGATTGACATTAGTATTCATTAATGCAAAACTAATTTTGATATAATTTCAACGGTTTTTATAAAATTAATGAATTTATACGAAAGCTTGAATGGTAGTGTTAATAGACCTTTTTCATAAAAACGGACAATTTAATTAAACATTTATTACAAAATATTTTGAATTGAATATATATATTTTTAGTTGATCCTATATATATTTACTTTAAAATTTAAATATTAATTTAAGATTGAATTTTATTCATAAAGAATTAGTGTCAAAAGGCTTAAAAAATTAAAGTATATTTATACAAATTTATTAAACATTAATGCTCATGAATTCAATGTCATTTAAATATCTATATAGTTGATATTCAATTATATCCTGAACTAGTAAGTGATTCACTATTGCCGAGTACAAAAATATAAGCTCAGGTATTATCAGGTCAATTTTCTATAGGAGAAACTGACAAATACAGACTAATAGAAAGAGGGAGAATAAGTATGAGAGTGAGAGTGAGAGTGAGAGTGAGAGTCTGGGTGTGCGAGATATATATATATATATATATATATATATATAGAGAGAGAGAGAGAGAGAGAGAGAGAGAGATGAATTTATATTATACACAATTTGTTCTTTTCCTTAACTTGTAACACAGTGAAAATCATCCGTATTCAGAAAATCATATCATTCAGAAAAGTAAACTGATATTGGTAACTTGAATATTTCAAAATAATTATTTGTAAGTAAATAGTAAAAGATCCATAATAATTATAAATTATTTAGATAAACAATATTTACATTCATCTTGACATATAAATAAATCGTACATTAAATTTATTAAATAACAACACTTTTATTTCATAAAAAGAATTAATAATTTTTTGTATTTAAAAATAATCGTATATGTAATCATTAATGTTTTATGTAAACATACCTATATATATTGTTAGCCATTGTTTAATGACATATTTTCCATTTTCGCATAGAATTAAAAAAAAAGGTGTTCAAAAAAATTTTTTATCAATGAGTTATTAAAATGGATTATCCAAATTTATACAATTTGAATTAGTGAATTGTAAAAGTTCGTACATTCTTTTCGTTTAAAGCCAATATCAATAAGAATAAACAATTTTTATTTAATGGTGCTATCATTTTAATAAATTTAAGATGTTAATATATCGGGCGTTTATTGCCGTATCCATAGCGTCATTTACATTTCGAGAAGCTTTACCGACGAGATTCTTAGATATTCATGGAGAGATCGTTGAAGACAACATAACCGTAACGGATTAAGATACCCTTAAAATTTTTCAGTACAATACACTTTTATAATATAGATTTTTGACCTTTAACGGTTGATTGCAAAAGAATTGAGTTGATAATTGCAATGGCATACATTTTTCTAGGTATATAGGCTAATCGAAGATTAGGGCACAAATTAATAGTTTGTAGAATCGTGTAATTTTCCATTGTAATAATTCATTTGGTTGAGCGATCGACTCTAACTTTGAAAATGGTGAATATTCAAATATATATATATATATATATATATATATATATATATATATATATATATATCTTTATCAATTAATATTTTATTGTTATATTGATTTTAAATTGTAGTAAGCTTAATATGTAAGGAGGAAATTACTCGATTACCTGTAAGTCGGTAATTGGTATAATACTCGATTCATTCAACTTAACATCGACATTATCCTGATATCTAAGCAACTACTTATTATCGATGTGTAACATTACTTTAAATAAAGCCATCTAATATGTTCTCGCTATCTGTCGATCCGTTAGGCAGTCCTAATTTATATATATATTATCAGTATCTGAAAGCATAATTTTTTCGATCAACTATAAAATCATTATCTAAATAACTATGTTGTTCGTAGCAAATATCAACTCTGTTCTGCCCAGCAGCAGTTAAACATTAAAATATTCTGAACAAACCGACTGCAAATTAGATAAACAAGTTTTCCTTCTAGTATTAATAAATACTCGTACAGGAATATCATAACATAATAATTATTGTATTCAATGATATTTTTATTATAATAGTATTGTTGTAATTGAGTAAATGAGTGAATACGAATGAATCGTTATGGCATTGCTCACCTATTTAATAAAGGAGGTACATTGTGCATTTATGCAGCAATTCCGTACCGATAAAACCAATTTTATTGGAGTTAGAGAAAGATTCCGTGTCCGCATTATCGGCACTCTGGCGTTCCCACCCTCCCTTCCCGCAATGCCTATACCGCAATGCCTATACCGCAACTAGCGCGAGGAAACAAGCAAGCAACATGCCAACGCATGATACAGCGCCATTTTAAAGGTGCCGCGTAGACACGTCGTCATCGCCGTTGTCGTCGTTGTCTTCGTCATCGTCGTCGTCGTCGTTGTCGTCGACTCTTACCTCGGAGCATCACTGTCCGTGCCAGTAACGCACGCGCGCACGCATTCACAGGCTTGCGAACACAGAACAGAATTCAGGCGTATCGGTATACGGACACGCACGGGATGAGCGCGTAGCCATATATTAAATCGTTGGATTTTACGTAATAGCCGAGGCAGCAATCCGTCCGTCCGTTCGTCCGTATTTCGATGTGAAAAGGAAAGGTACGTACCTTGTTGCTAACACCCATTGTGGAAGCGAAGTCGCTCCTCGAGCAAAGAACCAATTGTAAAAGACTGATTTGTTGCCGGTGAGAACGGTGTGAGTGCCGTAAAAAAGGAATAAGCGACCTTTTCACGACTAAAAGCACTGCTGCAATATTCTTCGGACTCTTCGCTTAACACGCACTCAAATTGTATTTACAAGGAGAAGAATTGAAATATTGGATAAGATTTATAAATAAAAGTACGGTTAGGATACTAGGGGGCCGCCGATATATAAACGCTATAATACGAAAACGTTCAACTCGGAGCGCTCGGGCGTGTAGACTGTAGACTAGATTTTCGCCAGGTACATTATAAACGCTAAGTGATTTCGGCAGAATATATCCGAGTCGCAAGAGTGGGGAGCCGAATGACGGAGAAAAGTAGGGAGAATTAATAAGAGCGAGATGGAAGATGACAAACGTACGAGCGGCAAATGTGATTAATGGTTGATGAGCAGGAGAGAGAAGGCGTGTCGTCTACCTACAACGAGAGGAGACGTCGTGCACAGATTAGCAATGTCGTATATGGGATGAGCAGTCACTGGCTTTAATGCCACTGCGACGTAAACAGGAATGCGAATGGGTAAAAGGCGTAGCGTCGTGCCCCCGTGTGGGCGATTTACGCCAATGAGGAGTGCGACGCAGCTGAGAGATCAAGCTTTCATTGCCTCGTCCTTGTCACTCTTGCCTACCGAGGTCGTCGTTGCGACAAAGACAGTGACAGATATTGAAGAAAGATGGCAAGTCCGGACGAGGACGCGAGGGAGAAAGAGAGAAAGAGAGAGTAAGTGAGAGCGTGGTAGATCGTTGGGAATGCGCGGAGCGGGGAAAATACCCGATGCCGATGGGAATCCCGACTAGTTGCAAACTCACATATGTAGTGTTTGAGTGGGATTGCTGAAGGGCGTGGAGTCACAGGTGCGGGGCAGGAGGGTGTAAATGCGCGACGAGAGCGTCAGAGTGGGGGTAACGCCAAAAGGCAAAACTTGAGGTAACATACGCGTATGTAGGTACGAAAAAAACAGCAGGAGACAGCGACCAAGCGGAAAAGAAATAAAAGCGATGAGTAGCAAAGTTTTTATACAATTGGAGCTTACAAATGCCGTTCGTAATTACTATTGTGCTTGACAACTATTTTAGTGTTATGTTATTTGTTTAGCCATGATATTTTTCTCAACATTACCTATAGGCCTAAAATTCAATCAAATATACAGTAAAAAATTGTTTAAACCTTAATGAATAACCCAATCGGTTTGTGGATTGTCGAATCGTCCTTGAATACTGATACTTTAGTGACCTACAAAGTTTTTTATAAACTTTTATTAACTGTGATTAACATCTTATTGTAAAGTTATTATAACTTCAAATTTATAAAATGTTTAATAATAAATATATTAGGGATTTCAGACTGTAAGTGCATAGCAATATATATATATATATATATATATATATATATATATATAGAATGAAACTAAATATATATAACATCTTAATAAATTCACATAATGCCTTAAACAATAATTGCCGTAATATACAATTTTGAATTGTTTAAATAGAAAATTATAGAATTAGTTTTTCTCTATCACTAATTCGAAAGCATCGCTACCTGTAATGCATTTTTTATATTTTATATGTATTCAATAATAAGAAAAATAACAGTTGCGCTAAAATATAAAGTAAAATAAAATATAAAAAAAAATTATTATTCCTTATACATTAACTTTAAAACATAATTTCCCTACTATAATTTTATAGATATAATAATATTTAATACATAATTTAGATATTTAAATGTAATTTTGTACGTCAAATTTTATAGAATGAAATGTAGAAATATTTTAATAAATTTTGCATATAAATGTTTATTATTATATTATAATAATTATATATATTCATTTATTTTTATTTATTAATTAATTATATATAATTAAATATATATTATATATATATATATCAATATATTTGTGTTATAAGGTGTATTATTCAATGAAACGAACAAGATAATAAAAAACTTAGATTAATTGTGATCATGTTTATAAGAATTAATTTATTTTGAATATAATATAATTCAATACTTTCTCTTGTATTAATATAGATACAATTTTTATCGACAATATCAAAAATATCGAAAAAGGAAACACGTAATATCTATAAATATATGCAATGAATGTAAATAATATAAGCTTATAGATGTATACAATTGTTTCAAAATAGAATAAGAATTTAACATGTCTTTATTTTGTTAACAATTATTTAATAAAAAGAAAAAGGAAGAAGAAAAAAAATCTAATATATTAAGTTTTATTATATGATGTTACAAATAAATAATATTATTAAATACATTTTTTAATTCATGTTAAGTATTCGTATTTATTCGCGGAAAATCCATGAAGCGCATGGCAAATCAGAAGATGTTTTCGCCTTCAGGTATATTCAGTTACTGCTTCAAAGAAAAGACTATCTGCAGTCGTAAATTGATTTTAATAATTAAATTTGCATATTAAAACATCATAAAAAAATAGCTATGTCAATTTAATAGAATGATGCTTCGTCGTTGTTTTACAAGCGGTTTTTCGCGTTTCTAATACGCATGATATGGTTATGATAGCGGTTATGATGCTTTGCAAGTAAAAAGCACGTAAAAGTAAAAAGGAAAAATACCAACATAATCGTAACAAATTCGGTTCTCGACTTTCAGTTTTCTTTTTCTTTGACTATGCTTAATATTTGTTCAATGGGATTGTAATTATATTTCCACAACTATTATGATAGATTTGCACTTTCAGATGATGATAAAATCTGAATTTTTTAAAATTAATGTAAAATCTAAATTAAATTTAACATAATAATACATTTTTTTAATCCTATGAATATAAAATTATTGATTCTAATTATAATTGTCTGTTTCCAATCTGTATTATATATTGTAAACCTTTATTAAAAACTGATTGTTGTTTATATAGTGACTTATACCCTTCTTCCTTACAACATTTAGAATCATTTTCGAAAGTGAGGAAGCATGGTTAATAATTACAAATTACGCTAATAACCAAAGTCTACGTGGAGCCAAAGTCAGTTTGATGGCACTTGAATCACTTCCATCGTTATTATTAAATATATTTAATTATTTTTAAGATACTTTTCTGTATTATCCAGATAATTTATTAAGTCACATTATTTAAATTATCATTGGTTATTGCATACTAAAATTTTTGTACTTATTGATTTTGTTTCATATTAGAAATTTATTTTTAAGTAATTTGTCAAGAAAAGAGAGTACGAAAATATTTCTTTATCTCTTTAAGGAATCAATGCCTAGTATTTATTAAGTAAGTATTTACAAAAAATACGGAAACAATATGATTTTTATTTTTATTAAAATTACTAATTATTATTTGCGGTTAGTAAAACAGAAATGAAAACTCTATTTATTAATTCATTAAAAATGCATACGAAATTAATTACTATTTACATTCATAATGCGATTTTAAAACTGAAATTTTTATGGTACAAAAAAATTTGTATATTTATGAATTTTCCGCATACTATCGTAAAAAGGATTTCAAGAGCTACAAGCACATTAAAGTAGGGAATAAGAAAATAGAATCCATTGATAAAGGAATTATCTATGAGTTTAGTGTTAAAAAAAAAATAGAATTTTACGTAAACAAGTAAAGATTATATAATTATGAAATATTATTAATAGTTGAAATAAATTTAAAATATTGCAGATCTTATAAACTTCATAAATTACTACTTTCGCAGAAAAAAGATTAAGGCAAAAAAAGATTAACAAATAGAAGGTACTTCAATAATGAGATTCAGAACGCTTTATTTATTCTACTGAAAAATCAAATTAAAATGTTTCTATATTACTCTTATTCATAATGGAAGTTTTTTTCTACTTTTAACAATAATGAAAAATTTGGTAATCATAATCACATTGTAATTGATGGTACTTACCAAAAATAGGAGTAGTTTAAATTCAACACTACTATCAAACAAAGTTTAAAAAGAGTAAACGAGACTGGTATCATTAAATAAAAGGAAAAAGCGGTTTAAAGTGAAATTATCATTGAAATAATCGATAAGTTATAATAATAAAGACATACCATACAAAAAATATTTAAATTCGTTAAATATTCTTCAAATAACTCTATTTCATCCAAGTAATTCGGTTAATTCAGAATATTTACAATTAATTATAAATATGACTGATTATTATAAGAATTACAAAGAAAGTTATTATTGTATAATAGAAAATATAATTTGATTAATATTTAAAGCATCTTCTTCATTTATAATCACTATTTATAATGACTATACTATTAGTCGAAGAAAATTATTATTTAGTATGTTTGCAAATTTATTATTTTAATGAAAAATACATGTATAGTTTCTTATAAAAATTCTTTTCTTATTAAAATATTATTATAATAAGATGAAAATTTTTTTTAATCTATAAAAACTGACTGATATAATTGTAAAAAAACCTATTTTATATACATTTTAAGTTACATACATTAGAGAATTTATGAAAATATATAAATGTGTAATTTTAAGAAATAAAGATTAAATTCTTTTTAATAAATATCTAAAAAACAGAATATTTATACATTTAAATTAAAAAATTTCATAGTTAATTTCATTTTGTTTGTTTCCTATGTTTCAAGACAAAAGTAATTACACATTTAGTAATGCGTATATTATTGATTTCATATTTTTTACCTTTTAAGGATTGTAAGTTATTCTTAATAATAATAATATATTCTATTAAGATTTAATAAAATCATACGGATAAAATACTCAATTTTTCGTCAGATATACTTATGAATTCAAACATGGAAAAATATTTTTAAAATATGAAACACTAATTCGACTTTTCATAAATAATAGTTAAATGATAGTAGGTTTACTGATCTATAAATAGCAATGAAATTAACTTTCGAAAAATATATAAATATTTAATATTTGATTAAATATTTAAAATATAAATATAAAAATAAATTTCAATATATCAATATTTTCTGATATCTAAAATTATGTGATGATGTAGTTTACAAGTTATGTAATAGATCCATCATATAAAATATATATTAAAAAGTTTATTAAGGTTTAAATTATCATATAATAGGGCAATTTTTATTTGAAGATTTATTATTTGCATTTGTTATTTAGAAAAGTAAGTATATTTGATGAATGAACAAATCTTGCTTCATAATTCATTATCATGCATGACAAGCTACAAAAAACTAAAGACTACATTAATAAAAAACGTTCAAATTAATGAAGTATTTATGTTAGCATCATAAATTTATACTTAATTACGATATGTTCTTTTTACTACAAATATTGTACTAAAATATTGTATTTAAGTGCTTAAATTGATAATATAATATAATAATTATTATATTCTAATTATTAAATTGAATTTTTTAATTTGTTTACGATTCAATATTTACAAATAATGAACGTTTTTCCATATATTTTTTAATATATGTGCCTGAGTATGCGCGCGTATGCAAGTGTAGCGTGCACAAAATCTACATATATTATTCAAAAACTTTTGAAACTTACAAATAATAATATAAAGTAGAGTAAAATAAAATAAATTACGATACAAATATTGAGACTTATAATTTATTAATATATTCAAAATAAAAAATTTATTTAAAATTTAAATAGCTAATAGATTCACATCTACGATTCATAAAATCTAATTTACGTTTAAGTTATAAATTATCACCTCATTGCGTAATAGAAAATTGAATGAAAAATTGTATATGAGAATGGCGGTATATTCCCTCGAATCACTTATTTGCATAATACCTTCAGTAATATTATGATGAGTCATTGGTATTACTTTGTATAAATTTGTTCTGAGAAAATATTTTCGCGTGTGGTACTAGATCTTTTCAGATTTCATACCGATTAATAATTTTATATCCTTCGATTATATCAAGATTAAAAGTATTAATAAATAAATATTAAATAGTAAATAAGAAGTATTTTCGCTAAAAATTTTTAATAATTTTATAATATAGTGTTACCATATAATATAATAATAGTAATAGTAAGCCTGCATTTATTAAATTTTACATTAATAATTTTTTATATAATATTTTAAAAATTATTATTTTATTTTAATTTACTATATTTGAATAAAATTTTTATTAATTGTTTAAATGAAAAATTATTTTAAAGGTTTATTTATATAGCTATATTTAATATGATTTTTAAAAATTTTAAATTTAATGATTTCACGTCAATAATTG